TTATTATTATTATTGATAATTAGACAGCCCATCAGTCACTGAGTCTTCCTTCACTCATGTCTCTCCCAGCCTCTACGCTACTGGAGGAGCAGGTTCCTCCTGATGCCTCTGTCCAACCCGGCCACAAAGAAGATCACTGACAGAGAGACTACCAGGTAGTGAAATTGTTTTCTTTTAAGAATCTTCTTTCGGAATTTGTAATTACAGTCAAAATTGTCCAAGACAGGAGAAAAATAAAACAAACAAGAACAAAAACAAAAAACTACTGCTTTGGGGATTCCTATTTGCTTTTTTCTGTTGAGCATTGAGCCTGTACTGAAGAGGTGAGTGCTTACGTTTGGACAAAAGTGAAATTCGAAAGCATGGGCTTAATTCTGAAGCATTTTATAACGATACATAGGCATTGAAACTTACAATTTTATAAATTCTTATTCTCAAAATCTAAAAAATCCAGCCTCCTCATATTCTTAGGAATACTGAATGCTGTCTTTGTTAAATTTTTTAGGGATGAAGAGTTTGGTTTCTTCTGAAAAAATGACGCAAAGATTGGCACCCCCATAATTACTTTAATAGATTATCAGGTCCTTTGTCTTTACTTACCTAAAAGCTTCAATAACGTTGGTTGAGATATAACAAAGTTGCTTTTCTTATAAGAATTTGTCTATGCACACATCGTCATTTTGTTATAAGATCCTTTGTTTAATTCCTAAGGTTTCCAACAGTACTAGTTGGGATATAACAAGTAAAGATTTCTTGTTCACAGTTATTTAATGTGTCTATGTACATTTCACAATTTTATTATGAGATCCTTTCTTTCCCTAAATTTTTTTTCTGAAGGATCAGTTTACACATAGTTAAAATTGTTTCTCCTTGTGGGTGGTTGGCGGGTGCTCTGGTGTGGTTTGCTCCTTCTTTCCTATCAAACATCTATGGTCCTGATCTCTGTGCCTCCTTTATTGCGTCTGTTACTCTCTTGTGACACCTCTTATCTTTAGCATTTATATATCCTTATTGTGTTGCAAGTGCCGTAAAACTCTTACTAAAACTAAACTGTTTCTCCTCCCCACCCCCACCACCCCTCTCTTTCTTTCTTTCTTTCCCCAGGTGCGACATCTATGAGGAGAAGTCGGCCACAGAGCTGCAGCAGCTCATCTCAGGCTTCATCAGGTTCCTGGAGAGCATGAACAAGATGAAGCGGCCGAGCCCGCAGCAGAGGAAGTCGAAGGCCGATGCTGCAGCAAGCGCCAGTGCAAACAACGCTGGCTCAGGCTCCGGTGGGGACTCCAGCCCGCGCAAACCAGATGGGGAGTCAGGGTGAGTTGGAGATGTTTTTCTATTAGAGTGAATGTGATAATGACACAAGTTAAGTTTTAACTCTCTGACCTGGGTACCTGTCACAGGTACGAGGGGGGGCAGCCGGTTCACCGATACAGATCCCGTATCCCCGGCGGGGTGGACTTTGCGATTTTGTTCCGTATCTTGTGCTCCCGTCAAATGTACGGGAATGGAATCCTGTGCTAGTTTTGCCACTTGTTTCGTGTCGAGTTTGGAGGAAGTTGCTTGGTAACTTTTTAAGTAATTGAAGGTGAAGGAGAGTCACCTCAACTGGGGTTGATCTGTCCAGAACGTGCACTATATTTTTTCTATACATCTGAAATAGTAATTTGACAGTCGCGTCGCGAAGTACCGATCGAAGAAGTCGCATGAAGAAGAATCACATAATTTTGCTGTTTTCTATACTTCTGTTTGTTTGACTAGTTCTAGTAACTCAGAATATGATGTGTCTGATAGTTAGGATCCTGGATATGTACCTGAACACGACCCGAGTCGTAGATTTAGGGCTAGATCAAGCACTAGTACTGGTGTTGTTGTTCGCGCAACGAAATCACAACTTCATGCCCCACATCTGTCTCATGTAATTCATTGTATGGGTCTGATTCACGCACAGCCCTGCTTTTATATTTTCACTAAACACTTGCACATGCATACAAATCAAAACAGAACACTTTGAACTTTTATTTTTGTTGTTCTGAATTTCATTCTTCTATCTGTCACGTCTCTGGAAATTTTTCTAAAAATCAAATCCATTCCAATTTTTTTTTAATCATAAAAATTATAGTATTAGACAACTGAATTTTTTGGT